TCCCCACTTCACAAGGAGGGACTCCACACCGTCTATCTGAGGCACAGTGGCCTCCCTTGGACATAGGCTCTCCCTTATAATGACCGCCACCCCACCGCCCCTACCCCGGGCTCTCGGCCGATGGAATGCCTGGAAACCTGGTGGGCATAGATCAACAAGGGGAACTCCCCCTTCCATGCCCAACCAGGTCTCGGTGATAGAAATACAAAATAAAGCATATTCAAATTTTCTTTTAGAACAAAGGGTGTAATCCAGTGGCTACTCATGAGAAATGTACTTTGGCAGGTTTAAAGAACTATATAATTAAGAAAGAGTGAATCAGATGATTTGTTCTTTTGAACCTTCTTTATTTAATTTGTTTAGTCATTTATTATTTTGTACCTCCCAAATCACAATATATTGGTGCACAAAGAAAAGAGAAAACAAAAATCCATAATATTCCATCCTTCCATGCTCCTCATGAGGGGAAAGGAGGCTTAGAACTCAAAGTATTCAGACCAAATGAGCAAAATCATACTTGGGAAGGGAGTCCCTGATAATATCCCCATATTATTCCACTTAAGGCTTTATAGATCAGTGTTTGTCAACCTTGACAATTTTAAGGCATGTGGACTTTAACTCCCAGAATTCCACAGCCAGCAATGCTGGCTGTGGAATTCTGGGAGCTGAAGTCCACATGCCTTAAAATTGTCAAGGTTGAGAAACACTGTATAGATGATAACCAATTCTCTAAAATAGGTCCAGAAGACTACTGGCAGTAAGTATTATCCTCAAAATGGATGTAATTTTGCAGCATTTGGTTTCCCCAATAGCAGCCTGACTGCTGCATTTTGTACAATTGCATCTTCATGTCATCTTTAAAGGCAGCCCCATGTAGAGCTTATTGTAGTAATCTACTTGCATAGTGATTAGGCTCTTTTGGAAGGGTTTTCTGGTAAGTTAATCTGTAACTGTCCCAAAATCCTGCCCATGGCTTCCACTTGCTGTTCAAGCAGGAGCTGAAAGAGACCTGCTCTTTAGGGGAGCATGACTCTATCAAGAGGAGTTGATGTTTCCAGATCATCCAGATGCTTGTGGATTAACAACAGTTCTGTCTTTGTAGGGTTTAAACTAAGTCTGTTTCTATCAGTTCTATACAGTAGAAGATTTATATACGCAACCCTTCAGCCTTGCTACTCCCAAAAATATCATTAAAATATAATGTGTATTAATGGATTACAATAGTAAAGAATGGATTAGTTTTAAAAAACTAAAATCTCAGTTCCAGAATGAAAAAGTAAGGGTTTTTTAAAAGAGTAATTTTAAAAATCATTTTAAACCAAGAAAACCCACCTTCTGGTCATCATCTACCTTACTCGTAAGAACGAAAGTACTATGAGGAAGGTCTCCAATAATTATTTTAATGTGTAGATAGTTTCATGTGGCAGAAGCTGCTTCCTCAATTATCCAAGTTCCTGTAGCCAAAATTCATTGCATTTGTGTTTTGAATTACATTGATACAAAAGGTACCGCTTGGCATATTTCATTTTTTATTTCTATTGTATACATCAAAACTGTTTTAGTACAAATGCAAATAATAAATGGTAATATTGTGATATTTGTTTAACAGGCAGCAAAACTGGACAATTTCATGGGAGATGCTTTCCATTATTTAGGTCAATATTACAGAGATGTAGCTGGAGATAAAAACAGAGCTCTTGGCTGCTATAAAAAGGCTTTTGAAAGAGATAAAACAGATGGTGTTACTGGAGCAGCAGTAGTGGACTTGAGCACTGAGCTTGGAGACTTGGTAGGGTATATCTCATTTGCACTTTGTAATGTATCAGTAAACAAAAAAGTTGTATAAAGTCTGTATAAAAAAGAGGTTATGATGGAAAATTAACAAAATTTATAAATCAAGAAATTTACCTTAGAGCTTCCAGGTTACTTCTCCTCATCCCCAAATGTTTCTCACAGGTCTTGGTGATTTTGGTATACAGGTAGTCCTCGACGTACAACAGTTCATTTAGTGACCATTCAAAGTTACAACGGCACTGAAAAAAGTGATTATGGCTAGTTTTCACAATTAAAACTTTTGCAGCATCCCCATGATCATAAAATCAAAATCCAGAGGCTTGGCAACTGGTTCATATTTATGACCTTTGCTGTTTCCCAAGTTCATGTGATCACTTTTTGTGACCTTCTGACAAGCAAAGTCAATGGGGAAGCCAGATTCACTTAACAACCGAGTTACTAACTTATCAACTGCAGTGATTCATTTAATAACTGAGGCAAGATAAGTAGTAAAATGGGGCAAAACTAACTTAACAAATGTCTCACTTAATGACAGAAGTGTTGGGCTCAATTGTCATAAGTCGAGGACTACCTATAATCAGAAACTTCTAGCATACAATATAGCAGACACTTCCTACATTTCTGCTGTGTTTGTTCCTCTGTCTTTCAGATGCAATAATAAGGCCCTGAATAGGCTGTATCACACTTTCACTTACCCAGACTAATTTTGCTATCCCATTTGCTTCCTTTACTTGTTTTTTCTAAATTTGCTCCTGCTGTGGATTTAGGTACTATTTAATATAGAGTAATATAGCATAGATATTAGTTGTGAACAATTTATAGAAAATATTGCCATTATTGGGAGACATTCTTTGTGTGAAATCTGACCTTTGCATTATGTTGTTGCTGTTGCAAAGAGACAAATAATGGTTTAGGGTTTTTTTTCCTTTTACCTGGCATTTTTATTATTTTTCAGGCAATAGAGGGAGCTGTCTGGACGAATGTTTTTATGCCTCATAATTTTGATAGCAATGCAAGGCATAGTAATTTTACTTATTATAACAATTTGACAAAAACTGGCAAAGCCAACTTTATTTCTTAAATCAAACTGTGGTTGCTGTTGGCATATTCTCAGTAACATGGAACGGGTTTATAATTACGGATACATAATAAGAATGAATGTAGCAATGAATTACTATAGCCCATTGTTGGGAAATGCTAGCACTTTTGAATTTAGCAATATTTTTAGCATTAGTTTGAAATTAAAATCAGCCTTTGTTTCTGTCCAGAGGAATACAAGTGTAGCTTCTAGATAAGCTTAAGCTGTGTGTGGTTCTCACAAATGAAATCTTTTAGGGTTTGCTTTTAATTCTACAGTAGGAAATGTAAGAAATACTCTGAGAATGCTGTTCTTATCTTTGTTCTATTTTTCTCAATTATATGCCCCATAACAAATCTTTCATAATATTTTGCTTGTGTGTGTTAGGAAACTGCCCTTGCCATCTTGAAAGAGGTAACAGAACAAGCAAGTGCTGGGAGAGCAAAATGGGCCTGGCTTCGCCGAGGACTTTATTATCTAAAAGTGGGACAACATTCGCAAGCCGTGGCAGAGTAAGAACATTTAACAAATTGCATTTTGTTATTTTATGCAGAAGGCAAGCTTAACTGGTAGTCTGATGATATCTGTGCACATTTCTTTTTTTTAAAAAAAAGCAACCCCTTTTTTTCTCTGTGAATGTTGCTATTTGGTGCTAGAATGCAGTAATCATTAGAAGTCTTTTGTATAAAACAGTGCGCTCCTTTGTCTTATGTCAGTGGAATATTATGGAGCAGTTCTTCTAGGCACAGAGAAAATGTTTACCCTCTCCCAGATAGTACTTCTAGATATTAGAGCAGTGGTGGCGAACCTATGGCACGGGTGGCAGAAGCGGCACTCAGAGCCCTCTCTGTGGGCATGCGTGCTGTTGCCCCAGTCCTAGGCCTTCAGCTGGGTTTTATGAAACCTTTTCGCTTTAGGCCGCCGCTGCCGTGTACAAAAAAAAAAAAAAAGGTTCAATCAGTCAATTTCAACTTCTCGCAAGAAAAAAAAAGATCGTGCAAAGTTGGAATTGATTGATTGAACTTTTTAGTCCCACCCAGTCTGTCATTACCACTGCAGCCACACCCACCCAATGGGCCACACCCACCCAATGGGCCACACCCACCCGGCACTTGACGATGCATAAGTGGGTTTTGGGTTGCAGTTTGGGCACTCAGTCTCTAAAAGGTTCGCCATCACTGTATTAGAGGTTGCTGTATTAGAGGTTGCTGCTACTTCTCTTTGGGTAATTGCATAATCTAAATACCAGTTAAAAGTGTGGTGTCTTGAAGCTTTTTAAAAAAGAATGTTGGAAATATATTCTTTTTATTTTATTATTTATTAATTATTATTTAATATATTTTATATATTCTTTTAATTAGTATTAGATTTAAGTTTTTACAGTTCAGTATTGTCTGTTTGGTATAAGATAAGATAACCTTTATTGTCATTTTTATACTGTGGGCACAATGGCACACATCAAAAATGAAATTTAGTTGCCCGCTCTCAAAGTGAAACACATACATGACACACACCTAAACATACTATGAACAACATATGTATAGAGACATTTATAATATAAAGATAATATAATATAACTATAATATAAATATAATATAAAGACATTTATATTGAGCTCCTCTATGAGCCCAAACAAAATCATCATGATGCTGATTTTTTTATTTCCAAAATTAACTGTTAGCTGCTCTATAAATACAGGTTAGCCCAAATAATCAGATTTTGCATAAATACCACAATAGGACTTTGGTTTTGGTGTTGTCTCAACAAATGGTCTATAAATAGTTTATAAATATCATGTAGCCTTACAGATGTGAGAATTTTTATTTGGTGCTCTATTTGCCTTTAGCAGAGTCGCACTATAGAATATTGTAAATAAAACATTTTTAATTGCATAGAATATTGTTTATGAACTCATTACTGGGTTTTCAATGTGTCTAGTTTGCAGGCAGCTCTGCGAGCAGATCCAAAGGACCCCAATTGTTGGGAAGCTCTAGGAGAGGCCTATCTAAGTCGAGGAGGCTACACAACAGCCCTGAAGTCATTCCGAAAGGCAAGAGAACTGAACCCCAAGTCTATATATAGTATTTATAAGGCTGCTGCAATTGAGCAAATTCTTGGGAAATATAAAGAGGCTATTGCAGAATATCAGCATATTTTGGAGAAATCAAAAGATTATGTCCCTGCACTGAAAGGTAATTATATATTTTATGTGCAATATATTTATTACTAAGCTATTATTTCAATATAGTTTCCCACTCAACATATTTCACTGCCTCCAATCCTTTTCTCTAGCCATTTCTAAACTTAATAAAATATGTGATTTTTCAAAAATTACAGGAATAGTTATTTGGTTGCCTTAATTATGCAAGGAACTGTTGAGTCACCTAAGCATGGGAAATGAGTAAATTGCTCGTAAAATCACTTTCAACATGTTTAAATCTAATTCTTACTCTCTAAAATAATAATTCCCTTTTTCTCATTCTGTACTTCAAATGGAAAATTTTAAAAAGTTGAAAATATTTCCCCCTCAATTTATTTTATGGATTTAATTATTGATTATTACATTTCTGTTCCTATGTACCCCCACATTTTATTTTAATTAACAGCCATATCAAATATTTTCCCACATTGGATACCTTATGCTTAATGTATGTTTGCTTGTAATATTACTATACCTTAACAATCTTTTTTTTAAAAAAAATAAAACAGGTTTGGGAGAATGTTATCTCATGATGGCAAAGTCTGTTCTTGCTAACTATCTGGATGGGAAAGCTTTGGACTATGTAGAAGAATCACTTGATTTTTTGGCACGGTTAGTATTTTTATATAGTCATTCTTCATTGTTGACTTGAAAGATATTCTTTTTTCAGTAAATGGCACACAGCCTGTCAACCCTAACTCCCAAAAATATAAAATATAACCCAGTTTTTCCTCAGTCAGAGGACCAGAAGACTACAATGTGGAAGGGACCAAACAGGTGTCGCTGGTACTTTACTTGATTTAGAGGTATTGTAAATACAGCTCTGTTACATTGCTTGGATGCTCCCTCTAACAGAATAAAAACTCTGGATTCATACTC